CTTCTGTTAGTGTGTGTAGTTGAGTTGTTTTCAGTATACTTGCAAATTATCTAAAAAATAGCTGCCTAGGCTTAGCTCATATGGTAAGTGTGGAAGGTGGTTTGGGTAGATATCTAAGGCTTGAGGTTCCCACCCATTCTTGGGAAATAAAATTGTGAATAACTGTTATTCATATATACCATTACAATATATATGGTTGAAAAGTTTCACAAGCTATATATGCACAAATTGGAACCTAGATTATTGATACTAATGCTATTGTTCTGACACATTATAATATCGTTAAGATGTAGTTAGCTTTTGACCTTTAGTTCAGTTGCTGTTCGTCATATGCTTAGGTACTGTATTTTGAGGTAGATAAAGCTAAAAACATTTTGAGTGGGCCTGTAAGTCTGTGGATTAATGGTGGGATAGCTTAAAATTCTATTAAAGTAAAAGTTCTTTATTTTTGTTTTTACTTTGATAAAATAAATAAATTAATCAATAATAAATTAATCATTTAAAAAAATAATTACAATAATTGAATAAAACTAATTATAACATTTACTTTTAAATATTTTATTATAAATTTTGTATTGAAATCATTACTTTTTAAAATAAAAAACTATTAAATTAAAATAGTTTTATATATTTATATTAAATTAAAATAAATATAAAAACTATTAAACATATTAAACGTCTCAAATGTGACCAATATGTTTCATATGTTTTTATTTATGTACTTGTATGACACATTTAATTAAACATATTTTCTCTGTCTTATATGCGTCAAAATTTATGTCGATGTGATTAAACACGAAACATATTTTTTAAAAGCCTATATGATTTTTCTCATACCGTTTTGATATATGTCAGCATATATGTTTAATATTGTCAAACACAATAACATCATATTTTTTTTCATCCCTATAAAATAAATTAATTTTAATTTAAAACAAACATATTATAGTATTTCTATTTATTCTTAAAATATTATTTTTTACATTTTATCTTTTAATAAAAAGTTGACTTGAACTCAGTCAAATAATTTTTTTACATTTAATCTGATTTGATTCTTCTCTCGAATAATTTTATTTGATAAATTTTAAATAATGTTAAAATTTTTTACGTTTGATTATGTCGAGAAAAATATAAAATTTTTAAATTCAATTAAAGAAATATAAGATTATTTAATGATGTTTTATTATATTGTATTTAATTATATTATTAGTATATGTAATGTGAATAATATGTGATAGATGATTATATTTAAATTATTTTTTATTTATTTAATTTATTAAATTATTTATTTATTTAACATGTAAATTATTTAGTTATTTAGGATTATCTAAATAGATGATTGATCTTAATAAAGTAGATTGTTTATTTAGTATTCACTTAAGATCAAAGAGTAGTGGTACAAGATTATTTTTTTCTTTTAACATATGAGACATGAAAATGAAAGTTAGATTAAAAATCTTAAATATAAAATTTCTTAAAAAGAGAAACAATGGTATGAGCTTTTCATATGTTTTATAGTTTCAATCTAAAGTATTTACTTAACTTTTATCTCATTTTTACCATTTGAGTTGAGTTAAGAAATTGAACTCCCAAATTGATTTTTTTAAGTTCGAATCTATACTTAGTTTTTTTTATCTTCATAATTTTTTAAATTGAAAAAGCTATCACTTATATAAGCTTCTTCAAACTCATAATATTAAATACCAGCTCTAATAATATAGTAAATGATTCAAAAATCGATAAGCTTTCAAATTGATTTTTTTAATTAAAAAAATTATTATGACCAGATATAGTAGTAATAGGCAAAGGAAGTGTTTGTGACTATTGTGATTTTATTACGTTATTTTTATTTATTTAATTTAATTTGTTGGTAAACACTTGACTATTAGTGAACTACCGAATGGGAAACACAAATTAAGAGTGTTCATTCAATCTGTTCGATTAATTTTGAGCCGAATTATCTAAAACCAAATTAACTAAATTATATTATTTTATTTTCATTAACTGAATCGAATTTACGAATTTTAAAAATTAACCAACCAAATTTAATTTGATCAGTTTGGTTAATTTTTTGGGTTAACCGAATAATAAATATATTTAAGTTAAATTACATTTTAAACTCTTAAATAAAATTAAATAAAATTATCCAATGAAATATTCAAATATCAAAGTATTATGTTAAAAACTCTAACAAGTTATGAAATTAAATGATTTATTTCATGTATTTTTCATTTTATAATTGGATTATGTTATATTTTGGTTAAAATTTTGATTTATTCAGTTAATTTCATCTTCGAACCGAATTAACTGACACTAATATTTTTTTAAAATTATTTTCATTAATCGATTGAAATTAATTTAATAACCGATCGATTAATCGAATTAAATCGATTCCATCGATTAATTCGATTAAAACTGAATTATGCACACCTCTACTTCAAACAAGCTAAACGGTGATGGAAGAGGTAAGAAATGAGAGAAGGGAAAACCAACCCATTGACTGTCCACTGGAAGGAAAGAGACGACATTTAGAACCAAGGCAACCTAAAATGCCAAAAAGCCTTGAATTGGGCCACATCACTCAAATGTGGCCTTCGATGACTCTGCTGGCTAAGTTTTTAGTTTTTCCATTTGCTACGTGACAAAATCACTTACATGATTCACACAGTTTGTCTTCTTCAATACTTTTTGTTTTCTTGGGAAAATCGTACAATGGCACTTTCATGCAAAGGCCATGAACTCTTTTTAATTTTTTTTTTATTTTTGCTAAAAGAATCTTAAAACCATTCATTTACTAAGTATAAAATAAAATAATCTCAAAGAATATTTTATGATTTATAGAATAAAACTATACCAATACTACTTTAAAAGCAATTAAAATTACATATCAACTATGTGATCATATTATTGTTTGACAAATTTAAAAAAAAATTGATAAATATTTAATTTTTTTGACAAAAAAAATGAATGAGGGCATATTTATATTTTTTTTCCATTTTGATTTATTGAAATTACATTCAATTATAGATTGTAATCAAAAGTAAAATTAAAATTTAATTATTTTATGCAATTATTTTTAAAAATTATATTTAATAAATTTAAATTTATAATTTATAATTATTTTTATACTATATATCGTAATTAAAAGTTCTGCTTGTGATATTCTTGCAAATTACTAGTGGTAAATAAAAATTTTTATTAGAACTTGTATGTTGTTTGGCATTGCAATTGTAAGTTTACGAATTAGGTATAAACATTGGAACGATTTTACATAAGACCAAGAATGATGTATAAGATTTCACCAACACCACCCGTGGCAAATATTGAAGAAAAAAACCAACAATGGTTACCATAAGCACGCATACACAAGAAAACATAGCTCACAGTTTTTAATCATTTTAAAAAGAGTCAAATCCGAGAAAGATTAGAGAAAGAATTGGTATTCCACCATTCTTAACAAACTCCGCTATGCATTTTAAAATCTTTCAGACAATTGTTTTTTATTAAAAAAAAATGCACTTTCTCTATCTTGTTTCATTTGTTTTTAAAAAGCATAAACATTTTCAATTTCGCATTTTCTTATTATTTCTCATCCACCCTCGTGCTTGCTTTCAAAAGCCAAAAGCTCTCTTCTTCGAGTTTCTCTAAGGTTTTTATTTATGTCTTATTCTATAGTTTCGGAAGTCAAAACCTCTCTCCCTAACTTCCGATCGCCTCAAGGTCCTCCACTTTTCCTTGATCAACACTACAAAGCTTTTATAATGAGTGACATAATTTTTTCTTATACTTTTTTAAAAACTTTTATTTAAAGGAAAAAATAGGGAGGGCTTAGCTAAACTTAAGCTGAATGAGTGAAATTTGTGTAACTTCAAGTCATTTTTTTCCGGTTAAACCAAACAGAATCTTAAGAATTACAATACCTTTTAACGCATGTTTTGTTTAGTTTAAGTGTGTAGATATTGATTTTCGACTTTGTTACAATTTGTTTCTTTGGTTGGTAAGAAAAATTTACTTGTTAAGTCATTTTCGTTATTTTAATGAATATATGAAATTCAATAAACTCATGTAGAATAAGCTATTATTGTTTTTAATTCAATTAAGTTTTAATGTTATAGTTTTTCGCAGTTTCTTAAGTTATTTATGTCTATTTATGTCCATTTTAATGCTATACTTTTATTGGGTTCAATTGCTGTTCATCATATGCTTAGGTACTGTATTTTGAGGTAGATGGAGCTAAAAACATTTTGGGTGGGCCTGTAAAGTAAGTGGACTAATGGTGGGATAGCTTAGAATTGTTTTGAAGTGTTTGTTCTAAGTCCTTTTGTCCAAAACCAAGTAGATTTACCTTAATGCAAAAATCCTAGTTGCTCTACTTGGCATGATGTGCCTTGTAACAACTCATTTTTGACAATGAACATTAGTAGGTTTTGGTCGGATTGGAAGGTTGGTTTTAGGAATAGCAACCTCAAGGGATGATATAGATGGGGTAGCAGTCAATGATCGTTTTATTGATGCTAAGTACATGGTAAGTATGTCCAGTTGCAATTTTAGCCTTGTAGTAATATTAAATTTGAATATATTTTGTTTCAATTTATGTAAGATATCTCTCTTCTCTGAATCTGTATTTGTCCTGTTCTACCCGACAATTCAAAAACCATGCAGTATTTTTCATTTATAAAGTATTACTGCTATTAAGTAAGCATATTGTTTCTCTCTATTACCTTTGAGAAGTTTTACCCACTAGAAAAAAATGCCTTGATAGATTTTATAGCATTATTTAGCAGTTGTGGCATCCCTGTACCAAAGTCTTTTAGATTATTATTGTCCCTGTTTTCTCTTTGTCGGATTTTTTCCAAAAAAGGCAAATATTCCATAATCTTTTTATCTAGCTTGAGATGGGCCTAGATTTTCGATTAGTGAGAAGGCTAGCTATTTGTGATATTCTATTTTACCCCTTTCATTAAAGGCTAGTTTCTATTTTGTTATTTTTACTGAAATCGTTAGGTCAGAATATAATCAATAAAAGTAAAATTGTCATGAATTTTAAATTAAGCTTAATATAAACTTGATTTACATTTAGCAACAAGGCTATCTATATTCTTAGATTTTTTTTTTTTTTTGAAACTGTTCGGTTTTTCTGAGCAATATATTTTAAATTTAATTGATAGCTTGACCATTGATGTGGTTCATCATGTATCAATAGCTTGTTCTGTGCACATTCTGAAGCCTTGCATAATGATTGAAATTTTAAGGAGTCTGTTGGTTCTTCTGATATCGAAAAGTTTCCATTCTTGTTCTCCAAGATACACAACAAAGCTAGTTTATGTGTTCTAGGAATCCTTCAATTATAGATACTTATTGTGATGTAGGACAAATAACTCAAATAGTCAAAATTCAGAAAATTCTAAACAAATCAATAATCAAAGTTTAGCTCCAAACATAATAAAACCTAAACATGAGCTTCATAGCCCTGGGTTTAAGCCCATGGGAAAATGAAGCCCACCTACCAAAAAAATAAACCAAACAAACCAGTCCACTAACAAATTAAATCCTACTTCTTAGATTTACTTCTAGAATGAATGTTCTTCCAAAGCTTGGGAGATTGTTCTCCATCATTCTCCACCGGTTGAAAAGAACTCAACTCTGGAGAGTTAGTGTGCAAAGACCACTCAAAAAGCTAGGATCTAATCTCCAGAGCTCATCAGTAGTAATCCAAGAAGTGTCAGATAATTGATACTCTTTCCACTGAACCAAATATCGTTGTATTCCCTTAATGGTAGAAAATACAGTCTCCTCATCTAAAATAGCCTCAATCTCCTCCTCGTGAGGTGGAAACATTGGTGCCTTTGGAATATAGAAGGTCCTGCAATATTACTAGAAGGCAAAATATGAGGATCAAAAGTACTTTTTATAAGGTAATGAATCTTCCACATTGAAAACAGGACTAATGTTTAAATGAGTAGGTAAATCAAGTAAATAAGCATTAGATCCAAGTTTTCGAAGAAGAGCAAAAGGGCCCATAGCACGAGCATTAATTTCTTAAAAGCATTTTTGGGTAAATGTTTAGCACCAAGACGAACCATTACATAATCACCAACATTGAAATCCTTAGCTTTACAATGCACATGAGCAGCTAATTTATAATCCATATTGCTCATTGCAATTTTTCATCTGACTTCAGCATTTACATCATCAATAGCTTGTTCAGCAAAAGTTTTAGCAGAGTCAGATGTACGAAAAGCAGGGTTAGGGGACCAAGATCAATAGGTGCAAGTTTGATACCATAAACACATTCAAATGGACTCTTTCCAGTGGACCTATGAACAAAATTATTATAGGCAAACTCAACAGTAGGTAAAACCAAATCCCAATTATCTTGCTTTTTTCCCATAGTACATCTCAGCAAATTTTCCAAACATTGATTAACCACCTCAGTCTAACCATTAGTTTGGGGATAAAAGCCAAAAGAAAAACAAGAAGTTAGTCCTACATAACTTCCAAAGAATCTTCCAAAAATAATTGACAAATTTCACATCTTTATCAAATAATATGGAGTTAGGTAATAACTGACAAATTTCACATCTTTATCAGATAATATGCAGTTAGGTAAACCATGTAATTTTGCTACTTTAAAAATTAGTTTGGGTACATGAGATGTATCACTAGTTTTACTACATGGAACAAAATGAGGCATCTTAGAAATTTATCAACCACAACAAATATGAAATTATGACCTCTAGCAGTTTTAGGCAGTCCTAGAACAAAATCCATGCTTAAATCTTTCAAAGGTTCATGAGGTAAAGGAAGAGGGAAATATAAACCAGTGTTGTCTCTTAGCTTTACAAAGCTGTAAAGTATGACAGCCAGACAATCTTACCCACATCCTTTTTCAAAGAAGGCCAATAAATCAATCAACCACTAAAGCATCATTCTTGTCTCTACCCAAATGACCAGCCAACCCACCAGCATGCATCTCCCAAATTAAAATCTCTTTAAACGAAAAATATGGGATACATGATCTAGAAGCTCAAAAATGATAACCATCTTGGATAACAAAATCTTCATAATCCTAATGATTACCGCCACTAACCTCCATATAAATAGTCCCAAAATCCAGACAAGTAGCATAATAATCTTTTACCCATGCAAAACCCACAACTCCAATACTCAATGATTGGAGCACTCCCACAATCCCACTAAGTCCATCATCAACTTTATTCTCCACACCAGATTGATGCTTAAGAACAAAAGTGTATTAATTTACAAACTCTAGCCATCTAGCATATTTTGGACTTGGTTGCTCTTTCGATTAGAGAAACCTCAACTAAATGCTCCAAATATAACATAAATTCAGAAGGTAAAAATTATAATCTTCAATAATGAAGAGATTGAACAATAGCATAAAGTTCCTTTCAATACGTTGAGTATTTTTGCCTAAGTTCTGTCAATTTCTCACTAAAGAATGTGATAAGATGACCTTCTTGACTTAATTCACCGCGATGCTTATCCCAGAAGCATCACATGCTACTTTAAAAACTATCTAGAAAAGTTTGTGTGAGAAAACACTTATTTACAGCTGGTTATAATCTTGTAATCTATATATTTATATTTGTATCTCTAGAATTAAGTATTTGTATCCCTAAAAGTAAGTACAGAAAATTAGGATAAACAATCCCTCAATTATCGGACCAGTTTTAAGAAAATTTAGTTTCCTATTTTATCCACTAGTTAGTTGTAGATAACCCTAAGGTGCTTATATAATTCTTTATGAGCAGTTTTTCAATATACATTCAGTTTTACTCTTAGTTTTACTAGTTTTATTTCTTAGTTTTTCCAGATGGTATTAGAACTTTAGCATCTTTTTGGAAAGAAAAATTTTTCAGCTTTTATTGCTAAATTCTATTTCAGGCCTTCATAGCCAAATCTTGTTAAATCTTTCAGTCTTATTTTTTTCTTCTTTGGCCTTCATTACCTAGAATCATCTCTGGTTAAACCGTTACTATCAAGACTCGTTTCAATCTTGCGAAAGATAACTATGCCAGAGATAGCAAAATCTGCCACTACTACCTGATTTGAGGAAGTGACAACTGGTAAAACCACCGGAGTATTACAAAAGTCTCGGGAACAAAGAAAGTTGAACAGAAAAGAGACTGAGTAACTAAGAAGCCTATTGAAAACTCTTGAAAAGCCTACTAGGGTATGTTCTTTGGGTAAGGTCTCTAGTTTAGGTAAAGCTTTTGGTTCCCATGGATTAAATGTCTCAGTTAAGAGTATTACGAGTTCTTGGATCATTGACTCAGGAGTCACAGATCATATGACACATTCTTCACAGAAGTTTAGTACATATACCCTGTGTCCCAATAATAACAAATTTGTTGTTGCTAATGGTTCACTTACTATAGTGGTAGCATTAGGAGATGCTCAAATTACTCCATTATTTATTCTTAAAAATGTTTTTCATGTGCCTGGATTGTTTACTAATTTGATATCTATATAAAAACTTACCAGAGACATGAACTGCAAAATGACTTTTTATCCCTTCTATTGTGAATTTCAGGACTAGAGTTAGGAGAAGATAATTGGAATTGCTAAGGATAATGATGAATTATACTATCTTAAGACATCAAACAACACAAGTAATATCAAGAATAGTTTACCTTTGTCATTTCTTAATGAAAAATCTCCCAATAAAGACAAAATCTGGCTTTATCATTTTTGTCTTGGACATCCTTTTTTTGAAACTTTGAAATACATGTTTCCTTCTTTGTTCAAAGGATTAAATGTCAAAAATTTTCATTGTAATGTTAGTGAACTTGCAAAGCATAGATGTGTGTCTTTTCCAGTTAGCAATAAAAGAAGTTCTACTTGATTCATAGTGACATATGAGGTCCCTTTACAATTTCTAATATTTCTGGTGCAAAGTGATTTGTAATTTTCATAGATGATTGTACTAGGGTCTCTTTGATATTTTTACTTAAATCCAAATCAAAGGGGAATAGTGTGTTTTTAAGCTTCCAAAACATGATCTAAAATCAATTTGAAGAGAAAATAAAGAGATTTAGGTCTGATAATGCAAGAGACTAGTTCAACTAGAGTTTATCTACCTATTTCCAAAATGAAAGGATTATTCATGGGTCATCTTGTGTTAATACTCAATAGTAGAATGGAGTAGCAGAGAAGAAAAACAACTATTTACTAGCCACAACCTGAGCTTTATTTTTTCAAGCAAATGTACCCAAATCTTATTGGGTGAAACTATTTTCACTGCCACACACATTATAAATAGGTTACCTTCAAAGGTTTTGGGATTTAAAACTCCTATGGAACTACTCTCACAATTCTATGCAAACTTTAACGCCACAAACAACCTCACACCTAGGATATTTGGTTGTACATCATTTGTTCATGTTTATAGTCATAATAAGGGAGAGTTAGATCCTAGAGCAATTAAGTGCATTTTTGTGGGGTATTCATCAATTCAAAAAGGGTATAAATGCTATCATCCTCCAACCAAAAAATCCTATGTATCTATAGATGTTACTTTTGAAGAAAGTAAACCATTTTTTGCTCAACCTTATCTTCAAGGGAGATTTCATTCATGGAAGATAAGGATAAAGACTTCTTTTGCTTTGACTTGTCCTCTTCTTCAACATTTTCACTCATTAATTTTTTTAGTCTAAACTAGTTTCTCTTGAGTCCAAGTCAAACACTGAATTTGAGTCTAAACCCATTCCAAACGCAGAAGGTGTGACAAAGGATAATATTATTCTTGATTCTATAAAGGAATTATAGGTGTACTTAAGAAGAAAAGTTCCAAATCTTGAACCAGATTAAGTCCAAGAACCTGATCTAACTCTGAAAATGAAGTAATTTCAGTCGTTTGACTTTGTTTCTCAAAATGAGCATGAATCTCCTAAAACTATAAATAGTGATTATGATCTGCCTATTGCCATTAGAAAAGGACCCAAAGAATGTACTACGCATCCACTATAACCAATTTCTAATTGTCATTTGAAAAATTCTCACCATCCCACAAAAATTTTCTTGTGAGCCTAATTACTATTTCCACTCTAACTACATTATCCGAGGCATTATCCAGTGAGAAATGGAGGCAAGCCATGAAAATAGAAATTGAGGCTTTAGAGAAAAATAAAACATGGGAACTGGTAAAGTTGCTTAAAGAAAAAAATCTAGTTTGGTGTCAATGGGTTTTCACTGTAAAAAACAAGGTGGATGGTACTGTTGAAAGGTACAAAGCTAGGTTGGTGGCTAAGGCTACACTCAAACTTATGGAGTGGATTATCAGAAAACTTTTACTCCAATTGCCAAGAATACAATTACGATTTTGTTATCATTGGCTGCAAATTACAATTGGCAGCTTCAATAATTTGATGTAAAAAATGCTTTTCCATATGGTGATTTGGAAAAGGAAATATATATGAAGATTCTATCGGGATTTGGAGGTCATCTAGAAGCAAACAAAGTATGCAAGCTAAAAAGTGCTTTATATGGCCTTAAACAGTCTCCTAAGGCTTGGTTGGGAGATTTCCCAAAGTGATGCTAGTAATGGAATATAAGCAGAGTCAAGAAAATGACACATTATTTATCAAGCACTTTGATTCAAGGAGAGTCACAGTTCTATTAATGTATGTTGATGATATAATTGTAACCGGAGATGATGAAAAAGAAAAAGAATCTCTAAAACAGTGTTTGGCTAGAGAATTTGAGATAAAAGAGCTAGGGAGATTAAAATACTTCCTAGGAACTGAAGTAGCTTACTCATGGCGAGATATTTTCATCTCACAACAGAAATATGTGATGGATCTTTTGAAGAAACTGGAACGCTCGCATATAAACCTGCAA